GGCTTTGCAAGCGCAGTCAGAAAAGGAAAGAAAAGGCAAAGGTAGCTGGAATGGCAACAAAGTAGGAAACCAGTCGAATCAGAAGAAACCTTGGAACCAAGGCAACCAAAGAGGTGGTTCTGCAGGTAAAGGAAGAGGTGGTGGTCGAAAGACAGACAAAAGCCACATTCAATGTTTCAATTTCCAGAAGTATGGTCATTATGTTAGTGATTGTCCATAAAGGAAGAGAAATCAATAGACTGATGCAAAGCTGGCGAAACATGAAGAAGAAGAAACGTTGCTAATGGTCACAACAAAAGATGAAGAAATATTACAAGATCAGTGGTACTTGGACTCAGGATGCTCATCACACATGACTGGAAGGAAAGATTGGTTTGTCAACATGAAGCTCTCGTCGAAGAACACAGTGAAGTTTGCAAATGACAACACTCTAGCAGCCGAAGGTGTTGGTGATGTTCTGATTATGAGGAAAGATGGCAAAAGGTCAACAATTTCCAATGTGTTGTACATACCAGGCATGAAGAGTAATTTGCTCAGTATAGGGCAGCTTGTCGAAAAAAACTACAAGGTAGTTGTCGAAGACAAGATGATGAGAGTTCTTGACGCAGGTGGTAGATTAATCTTGAAAGCTCCAATGTCTCAGAATAGGACCTTCAAGATTAGACTCACTGTGATGGAGCACAAGTGTCTAGCAACTGCAGCCAGCAGAGATGAGTGGTTATGGCATTTTCGACTAGGTCATCTCAACTTTAATGACATCAGAGAACTAAAGAGAAGAAATATGGTTTCAGGATTACCAGAAATCGACATTCCAAGTGAAGTCTGTGAGGAGTGTGTTCAGTCGAAACAACACAAGAATAGCTTCAGCAAGGATGCAGGAAGGAAGTCGAAGGCAATACTTGAAGTCATATACTCTGATGTATGTGGTCCAATCCAGGTGGATTCGATTGGTGGCAATAGATACTTTGTCACGTTTATAGATGATTACAATCGAAAGCTATGGACTTACCTCATCAAGAAGAAAAGTGATGTGATTGAGGTATTTTCCAGATTCAAGTCCATGGTCGAAAGACAGAGTGGTCGAAAGCTGAAAATTCTGAGGACTGATGGTAGTGGATAGTATGTATCAAAAGAGTTCGATAAACTATGTGTAAAAGAAGAGATTATGCATGAGGTGGTGTCACCTTACACTCCACAACAAAATGGGATTGCAGAATGCAAGAACAGAACCATCATGAATATGGTGAGAAGTATGTTGAATGGAAAGTATCTACCTAAAGAATTATGGGGAGAAGCAGTTTCGACATCAACGTATATATTGAACAGATGTCCGACGAAGAAGCTTGAAGGAATCACACCAGAAGAATGTTGGTCTGGTGTCAAGCCTAGTCTCAGTCACTTGAAGGTGTTTAGATCTATAACACATAGACATGTGCCAGATTAATTGAGAAAGAAGCTTGATGATAAGTCGAATCAGATGATCTTGATAGGATATCATTCGACAGGAGGTTATAAGCTGTTTGACCCAGTGAATAAGCAGGCAGCGATCAGCAGGGACGTGATCATAGATGAGCTTAAAGAATGGGACTGGACTAAGAATGCCAAGAAGGATTTAGTGAGAATCTCTTGTGAAGAACCAGCCACTGAAGTCGAAATAGAAGTTCGACAGGAACCAATTACAGATGAAGCAGGTTCAAGCAGACCTCGACGAACAAGACACGTGCCTGCAAGGTTGCAAGAATGTGTAATTACATCAGATGATGTAGTCGATGAAGAGGGTGAGCTGGTACATTATGCTTTCTACGCATATCTCGAACCAGTCAATGCAGCTGAGGCATTAGAAGATTCGAAGTGGGTGAAAGCAATGACTGAAGAGTTGGAGTCCATCGAAGTCAATGATACCTGGTCACTTGTCGAATTACCGCAAGGCAAGAAGGCAATTAATGTGAAGTGGGTTTATAAGGTGAAGGTAAATCCTAAAGGAGAAGTAACTCGACACAAGGCGAGACTTGTGGCGAAAGGGTTTCTTCAGAAGGAAGGAATCGACTTCGATGAAGTATTCGCACCTGTTGTTAGAATCGAAACAATCAGGTTGGTTGTTGGTCTAGCAAATATGAACAACTGATACACATGTCAGATGGACGTGAAATGTGCATTCCTTAATGACCCCTTAGACGAAGAAGTTTATGTTGCACAACCAGTTGGGTTTGTGAAACAAGGCGAAGAAAGAAAGGTGTACATACTTCATAAAGCCCTGTATGGACTTAAGCAAGCTCCAAGAGCTTGAAATAAGAAAATCGACAGCTTCTTAAGGGAGAAGGAATTTGTGAAGTGTACAGCTGAACATGAAGTATATGTAAGAAGAAGCAATGGCAAATTGCTTATACTATGTCTCTATGTTGATGATTTGTTGATAACAGGGAGTTGCAAGAAGGAGATCGAAGATTTCAAACATGACTTGAGTAAGGAGTTTGAAATGTCAGACTTGGGAAATCTCTCATATTTCCTTGGTATCGAATTCTACAAGACAAGTAGAGGTTCGATGATGAACCAAAGAAGATATGCAGGCGAAATACTCAAGAGGTTTGAGATGCAAGATTGCAACCAAACTTCGACTCCAACTGAGCCTAGATTGCAACTGTCGAAGGATTCAGATGAAGATGATGTCGACCCAACCCAATACAAAAGACTTATTGGGTCACTTAGATACCTTTGTCACACAAGGTCTGACTTAGCATACAGTGTTGGTATGGTAAGTAGATTCATGCAGAAGCCAAAGGTATCACACATAGCAGTGGCGAAGAGGATGCTGAGGTATCTAAAAGGAACTCTCGACTATGGCATTTTATTTCCAGCAGCTGATGAAGGAAAAGAATGCAAGTTAGTGGGATACACAGACTCTAGTTGGTGTAGTGATGCTGAGGATCGGAAATCCACAGATGGGTATGTGTTTATGTTAGGTGGTGCACCAGTTGCTTGGAATTCGAGAAAGGAACCAGTAGTGGCATTGTCATCATGCGAAGCAGAATATATAGCTGTTTCTCTTTGTGCATGTCAAGCAACTTGGATGGTGAACTTGGTCAAAGAAATCACAGGGAAGAATCATGGAGCAATTACCATGAAGATAGACAGCATGTCAGCTATCAACTTGACGAAGAATCCAACAGCTCATGGTCGAAGCAAGCACATCGAAATGAGGTTCCATTATCTTCGAGAGCAGGTAGCAGAAGGGAAGATGAAGTTGGAACACTGCATAACTGAGAATCAGATTGCAGATATCATGACGAAGGGAGTGCAGGTCGAAGCCTTCAGAAGACTAAGAGCCATGATGAACGTAGACAGTTTAGACACAATGAATTAGGTGGTGTGTTAAATGTAATTCATAGTGTGTCGAAATAGATTTGATTTGATATGATTTAGATTAGATTTGATTTGAATATTTTGGGCCTTTTATGTTTTGGGCTTTTGTAAACCTAAAACTATAAATAGGGTGCCTTGCTTTGTATTCTACACAACATAGAACAAATTTCACAGTTGCAGAGTTTAGCAAGTGAAAGTTCAATATAATCAGAAATCCCACAGTTGTGGGTAACACATTTTCTCCAAATATTTCTTCTCTCTTTCTTACCTGTTTTGTTATTCTTCTTTTCTTTTATTGTTCTTGATAACTCCTTACTTGTTATCACGATTACTATCATATTGTGGGTTTATTCTCAATCTTGAAAACAAAATTGAAGATAATTCTTCATAGGGTGTGAGGTGAATTTCCAACAAGTTTTACTTAATTCTAACTTCTTCATGTTTATGGTTATTGTTTCGAACTTTCATTTCTTCAACAAACGTTTTTTTTTGGATTGTTTACACTTTTATGAAATTGGTTGAAATACAGTTCCCCAAAAGCTACAACAACTTTATTGTTCATATTTTTAAGTTGAAAATTTTAATCCCAAACACAAATTACTCAAATTCATTTTCTCCTGTTTTTGGGTTGCCTATTTGTTATCTTCTTTCGCTATCAATATTGGGTGTCCAAATACTTTATTATACCATAACAATATCAATTATCACCATACATGTGAAGTTATTCCGTTGTTGAATCCGGTAACCACTTATTCCCTTTTATTGTCTTCAACATTTTAGGAATTTTTTAATAAAACTACGTTTTAATTGGCCAAAATGGGACAAATATATATATATATATATATATATATATATATATATATATATATATATATATATATATATATATATATATATATATATATATATATATATATATATATATATATATATATATATATATATATATATATATATATATATATATATATGGCATTTAATGAATTTGTAATGCAGACCAGACTTTTGAAGTTGTTATTGCCAAAGCTCAAGCTGAAAATAAACCATGTTTAGAATTTTACCAGTGTCCTTGTAGCTTATGAGTTATAACCTAGTATATCTATCCATTTTACTATATGTAAATGTTATGTTAGGTATATTGCAAGCAAAAGGGTCATCCAAGGTAGTCATAACATAGTACGCCCCTTATGTTTTAATGTAGAAGAAAATTTAGTCCATTTATTCTTCGATTGTCCACTGAGCACTCAAGCATGAAGAAAGGTAATTGATTGTCTAGGCTTAGATTGGAGTGTAATTCCGGGTTTGTGCATATCTTGATGTGGTCTTGATCAGAGCTTCGGTTGGAGTGTGTTTGTAACTTGTGTTGTTTGTATCATAGGTTGAGTACCCTTGTACTCTCTTATAGTTTACTCCAGTTCTTTGCTTATAAAAAAATCTTGGCATCAGAAATATGAGATACATCATATAATTGCACTGTCTTACTAAAAACTATGTCAAACAAATGAAGTTCTGTTATAAAAGTAAATTACAAGTTTCACATTAACATTCGAACAAACATGACAAACCTAATGATTATTTCAACACATGCATATTCACATGCATAAGATACAAAGAGATTTTTTCAAAATAAACTAATAAAGTTAACAAATTGGAAGAGGAGCACCGTTCCACTCTCCTAAGCATTCAAGAAGAGGATCAATGATTTTTCCCTGACACATAGCTGTAAACAATTTATCACATTCCTCGCCTGGTGAAATGACATTTTCTCCCGTTAGCAAACCAGTTCCCAACTCTTGTCTCACAAACCTATAAAGTGGATAAGATCTGCATCCATTGATCTTGTTTGGAACTGTTGGATTTCCACTCTCATATGCAACCCTAGTACTTTCTACCTCTTTTGGCAAAAGGGTCTTCAACTCTTCCTCAAATGTTGCAATCTTTTGGAAGATTGATGTGTTCAAATTCTTCTCAGATTCACCATTTACTAATGCATGATCCACTAACACTTGCCTCAGCTTTTGCATCAATGGATATGTAGCACTACAAGGATCATCAATATAGGCAAACACATGCTCCCTATCAACCACTCTCAACAAGTCCTTTTCACAAAACCTTGAAGGATGGAGTTCTCCATTGACACCTGTTGTAAGGGTCCTTTTAGCAACTTGGCTCACAATGTTCTTAACCGAGTTTTTCAAGTTCTCCTCCAAATGTCTTAAGTCAATTGCTTGGCAAAGTGCAATCAAGAATGTGGAAGACATGAGTTGAAGGATCTCAATGGCTTCATAAGTTTTCCTAGAAGAAATCAAACCCAAAGAATTCACATCTTGGTTGTGTTGCTCAGCACTTTGGACATGAGTTGTAACTGGGTTTGCAAGATATTGTAACTCGGAACAATAAGAAGCCATGGCAATTTCCGATCCTTTGAAACCATAATCCAAGCTGGGATTTCTACTAGCTGAGAGGTTTGAGGGCAACCCGTTGTTGTAAAAATCGTTGACAAGCTCAGAAAATTGAGCAAACATGAGTTTACCAATAGATGCAAGAGCTAGACGTGTATTATCCATGGATACACCAATAGGTGTTCCTTGAAAATTTCCACCATGCAAAGCCTTGTTTCTTGAAACATCAATCAAAGGGTTATCATTCACAGAGTTAATCTCCCTCTCAATTGACTTGGTAGAGAATCGAATGACTTCAATAAGAGGACCAAGCCATTGTGGTGAAGTTCTAAGTGCATATCTATCTTGTTTTGGCTTCTGGAGAGGATCCATCTCATGCAACTTCTTAGCAGCTTTGACATAAGCACTTCCATCCAAAATATGTTCCATAATAGCAGCAGCCTCAATTTGACCAGGATGGTGCTTCAACTTATGTGTCAAATGATCAGTGAATTCAGGCTTCCCTTGCATAACTTCAGCAAAGATAGCTGATAGGACTTCAGACAACACAGCTAGGATGTTAGCTTCAAATAGGACAATAGAAGCTAAACCGGAACCAACAGCGGTTCCATTAACAAGTGCAAGTCCTTCTTTTGGTTGTAATTCAAAGAATCCATCATTGATTCCAGCTGACTGAAAAGCTTCTCTTGCATTAAGTATTTCTCCGGATGGTCCATGAGCTTTGGAATTTGGTCTTCCAGTTAGTAAACCGGCAATATAAGAAAGAGGGACTAAATCTCCGGAAGCTGTGATTGTACCACGAAGTGGTAAACATGGGGTGACGTTGTTGTTAATAAGTTTGGTTATAGCTTCCAAGATTTCAAATCTAATTCCAGAATAGCCTTGAAGAAGTGTATTGATTCTCACAAGCATAGCAGCTCTTGTTGCTGTATGCGGTAGTGTATGGCTTGACTCAGTTCCATTTCCAAATATTCCAGCATTCAAAAACCTGAAAACAAGAATTAAGTAGAGTAAGTATTAAGAAATATTTAAAAAATATATATATTTTGCTACCCATACACTAAAAAAATAAACTAAAAAATGTAACCTAACAAATGTTACTTATAGAAAATGTTACTGAACAAGTTGCACCTATAAATAAACATTGAAAAAATCATAACATTCCACTATCAGTAGGGGTTAGAATACCCTACCACTTGTTTCTATTTTTAAGTAGTACGTTGACAAAAAAAAAAAAACACTTAAATATTTATTAACTAATTGTTACAAATAGCTGTACCAAAACAACAACAAAAAGTTACAAATTGCTAATTTACTCCTAACAAAACTTATGAGAGTAGATTTTCAATCTCAACAATAAGGATAAAATTTTAAAAATACATATATTGAATGGATTCAATTTATATATACATGCAAATAATTTTAACATGTTGATCAAATTATATTGGTTGAATAATTTAAAATATTTGACTTTAATAACAAAATCCATGAATAAATCATGCAGATTAATATATGCAAATGATTAAGAATGAATAAATCATGCAGATTAATAACAAAAATATATATTACCTAATGAGTTCTTTCTGCAAAGCACCACCTTGTTTGGTTCGGCGGTGAGAGGTGGCGCCGAAACCCGTGGTAACACCGTAACTGTCTGTGCCTTTATTCATACTCTCCATCACCCAGTCACTGCTCGCCTTAACGCCTGCCCTAGCAGATTCTGACAGCTCCACCTTCACACCATGATCATGTGCGGCAATGGCAGCCACCTGAGAAATCGTCAGCGTCTCACCACCAAGACGGACCACCGGCTTTCGGTACTCCTCCACCATACGCTTCACCTCATCCAAGTGACTCCCTTTCATTGCCTCCGCCGCAACACCCCAATTCAAAGGATCCGCGCTGTTAACTTTCATGTTATTATTCTTAGCATTAGTCACGCAAAATGACTCGTAACCGTTGTTTTTTGTTATGGCTGCTGCTACTGTTTCCATTTTAATTGATACAAAGTAACTAATGTTTCTTTGTTGATAATTGGTTGCAGGAATTTTACGAGAATGGAAACTCAAATGATTATGAAAGAAAATGAAAGAGTTATGAATTTCCTGAGATGTGAAGGAAGAGTGGTTAAGCTTTATATAGAGACTTTGAAATGTAATGTTTTGTATTAATATTGTGCATTGCATGTGTGTTGGTGTGATATGTGAGTTTGGTAGGTGGGGAAAGACAAGTTGCACAAGTAGGAAAAAAGAAAAGTGGGTTTGTTGAATATTAATTATGGCCGTTTGATCATCACTTACTGATGAGCGGTTGAGATTTTGCAACGTGGCAGTCTAGGGTCGTCGTTTTCTTTGTTTTGGGGTTGGTAGATAGATGCATGGGTGGATGGCATTAGACTAAGAGAAACACGAGGTAGTTGGCAAGAAATATGGTGGAAGCAACCATGCATGACCATGACTTTAGATTCAACATTGAATGTCGGTCAACCCAATAGACATGCATTATATTATTTATTAATTTTGATACTACTAATACTTATCAATCATCATTTACTTAGAGAGTGTCTCAAATCTCAATATTGTAAGTAATAGGATACATGACTTCACCTTTTTAATTATATATTTTTACAAAAATAACACTACAAGAAAAAAAAAATTCGAAATTAAATCTCTCACAACTGCAATAATCCCCTCATAAAATAACCCACCTTGCAATACAATTGTAAATTTTTTTCAACAGATCTGCCACGTTGTAATCTATGAGGCACTTAATTTTTCGCAAAATTTGACATTTTTTTTATGCACATAGCAGATTAAGTGGTACAGTGTGCCAGTAATTTGTGAGAGATTATATCTCTTATAACACAGTGTCATATTTTCGTATGTGTAAGAGACAACATGTTAACTAGTATTTGCAATATCGTTTAAAAATATTATAATTATGTTATTATAAATTTAATTATATAATTATAATAAATACAGCATGATTATAATAAAGAAATTTTTATTTCTAAAATTTGCAGAAAATAAAATTTAAATAAAATTATAAAACAAAATATTCCATGATTAAAGTTAAAATAAAAATAAATAGTCTCTATATCCAACAAAGTTAAATTTAAAAATAAAAAGTTTCATATTTAAACATTTTAATTATCCTTATCTTTTTCCTCTATATCCACTCATTCCTCCATATTCACTCACTCCTTCATATCCACCACGAGAACGTTGATTTATCTGTAAGGGCATAAATTGTTCAAATATATGTGTGCGCTCATTTGCAACTTGTAAGGCTTGCTCCAACTTTATTTTTTCTCTTCATTTCTTCCATTTTGTCTTTTTTGTTGCTGTTTCACATGCTGACTCAAAATGTGCTAAGTTTGTCATAGTTTCTACCTTTGAGTAGTTAATATGAGCGGATGTGATGATCATTCTCTATCGAAATTCTCATTCTCAAACTTCTATCATGTCGCCTGTTATTTTTGGGAAAAGGGTCTAGTACCATACATTCTCCCATTTTTCTTCTATTGGAAAAGAAAACAAATATAGAAGATAGTAATAAAATGCAGAAGCTGCTGGATCAACTTTTCCCCTGCGTGCAATTAAAAATAAGCTCCAAACAAAATTGCTCAGACAACAATAATAAGCACAAAATAGAGCAAACAAAATAAGGAGACACCAGAATTATTAACGTGGGAAAAAACCCTTAAAGGGAAAACAACCCACGAGACCAAGCCAGTAAATCTTCCACTAATAAATTAATGGGTACACCACAAGTCCTCCAGAAACCACCAGGGATCAACAGAGCAAATATAATCTTCACCGTACAAGGTGGATATCAAATCAACTAACCCCTCAACGGGTTCTACGACACAACAATAAAGAGACACTCTTTGATATTCTTCTCTCTGTCTGTAGAGTCGCTCACGTTGCAACTCTCTTCCCCCTTGCTCCTGTTATATCTAACACACAAGGGTTAAAACCCTTTAACCATTTCATGGGCTTTGTCCCACAAAGCTAACTCCCTTTTTTTCTTCTTCTCTTTTAATAATAATAATAATAAGATTAAGTGGGCTCACTTATTTTGGTGACCCACACAACATCTTCTTCCCGCCTGATACACCATACTAAGTGTAGAATGATACAATAGGAAGAGTAGGATATCAGGATAGTAGTGCATGTATTTCATGATTATTTAATAGATAAATGACAAGTTTTTATTTATCATACTCCTCTTATAAAAAAATAGATGTTATCACAATTTAAATAAGTTAGGCATTTAAAAGAAATAAATAAAATGACTAAATATAAATAAATAAAATTTAGTTGTGTTTTTCTTGAGTGTTCATTGACGTCTTCTCCATTTCTCTTGATATGAGTCTCCGCATGGATTTCATTAAGAAACAGAATTCTACCTAGTTCTTCACGCTAATGAAATGAAAACATAATTAAAAATAATAATTATATTTAATTAATCTAAAATCTAAATGAAAATTTAATTAATAAATAAATAAATTTACAATCCTTTGTGCAAATTCAGCAACACTAATATTGTCTGCTTCGTAGTTACAGCCGCCAACTTTCAGATGCTCTGTTTTTTTTTGTCTGTTCAGATATTTGCTTAAATTTATCGGAGTTTCAAAGCTCTTGAAATACATCTACACCTATCAAACAAGGACATGATCCTTTTCCAATCCAAGTAATTCTAGCACACCTAAGCGTGTTAGAAAGGCAAACAACACATCTCGAGTGAAAGGTTTTCTTAATTTCTGTGAGTGCAACTTTCCATCAAATCTGTTTCAAATGATGTCAAAACTAAGATTGTCAAACTTGCGAGTCTACTCAGACTCGTTTAGGGTCTGTAGACTCGACTCGCAAACTCGTACGAGTCTATGAAAAATTAAAAATGACATTCAAAAACTTATAATTTACACATATATGACACACTCCTATGTTCTTAAATTTATAAATATCTCGTATATGACACAAATGAAATAACAACACTATTTGATTTTCCTTTTCTATTTTTCAACTTTAAATTCTACATGACATAAACCAAATTATTCACCTCTTTTTGATGCAACCTATTTCTTCTCTTTTTATAAACCTAAAAAGTAAATAATAATTCAACTCAATGTTTCTAAAAATATTAAAATCAAGTCTATAAACAAATAAATAATAATTCATTTTCATTTCAAAGGAATTCCGATTATGTTCACAACTAGAAGAGGTATAAGTTAAGCTTAGAACATAAATTATAAACCTCTTTAATTATAGAGCCATATCTCCATAGAAATGTCACTCTTCAGTAGGTAACATATCCTTCCTAAACTATTTTCTGCCATAAATCATAAACTTTCTAAACTATTTCGTCACATGCAAATTGATACATGTGCATTGAGATCATTGGATCTGATTGGACAATGGTGCATCACCTTTACACAAGATATCATACATGAGAAGCATCAATTTGAATCATATAAGAAAACACTTACAAAGCAAAGGATTAATTTACGTCCATGAACACGAACAAAGCAAGAGACAAAACAAACTCACGCCATTGATGAAGGGAAGAAGAAACTTTGTTGAAACAAGAGACTAACAAAAAGAAACTTTCTAATTATCATACAAGAAAAAAATAAGGGTATTTTTTAAATAAAATAAAATCTTTTGGGGAATTTAGACCTTTTTAGGTTTTAAAAAAAATTCAAAAAAAAACTTATAGACTCTTAAAATCGTTATAGACTCGCGATTCTATATGAGTTTGTGCAAGTCTACCCGAGTTTACTCGAGTCTATCAAAAACGATTCTATGCATGAGTCTACTTATTTATGCTTCCTAAACTCGTAAACTCGTACGAGTTTATGAGTCTACCTGCGAGTTTGACAATCATGGCCAAAACTATGATAGTTTAGTGTTAATGTATATTACACGGTATTCTATGATTCTACATGTGCATCTTAGCATCAGGAAGTACTAAAATGTTTTGGAAAAGGCTCATGCATCATAAATATATTAAAAACAAAGTTTTTGTGAAAGCACTACAACATAAGCCAACACATACATGTTTATATCAGCCTATAGAAGTTTTCATTTCAATATAGGTCGACATATAAGATACTTAGGTCGACACCCATACCTCAATAACAAAACATGTAGGCTCTGTCCATGTGCTGACTAACATAGGTCTACACGAGGTTGACACTAGAATTTTATAGGTCGATCTAAAGACCTTCATAGGTCAGCACATTTGCTTTCATAGGTCAATCTATAGCTTCCATAGATGAACACATATGGGGCACTCTTTCAAAAATTTATATTTTTCCATTCTTTTGCATTCCTTTTGCTTCCAAACTAGCATACTTATAAATACTTGATACATACATCATTACTAGTAAGATTTCTAGTGAGTAAAACCTATACGAAATCAGGATCTCAAAGCATTCTCATCGTCTTCAACCTCTCTTTTATGCATACACACAATCAAATTACACATAATCATTTTTTATTGGGTGACCATCTAGATTAGGGTTGATAACGTCCAATTAGCGTGGTGTACTTAGAATATTGGGTTGAGAATTTTGAGGATTTCAAATAAGAAAACCGAGCTGGGGTTTTTCTTCAAGATCATTGATAATTTGAAGGTTTTGGACAAGATAACACAATTCGGATCCGATTAAGTGAAATCCTTGGGACAGTTTGAAAGAAGAAGTAGTGTGAGACGGTGGATCGTGGTTGTAAATCTTGGGTTAAATAAGTATGCGCTTGAGATTAATTCGACAGTTTGAAAGTCTTAAGAATATGGTTGCCTTGCAAAAAAGTAGCAAGAATTGGTGAATTGAAGCGAAATTGTTGGTGACTTGATCAATCTTTGATCAAGGGTTTTGGAGGTGGTAGAATCAACAACAAATCATAGGGTTTGTAGGGTTATAATTTTTCATCTCTTGTATATACTCTTTTTACAAAGTAAGTTTAATTGCATGTATCTCAATTCGAAT